AGCCCTTATTTGGTGAGTCCAGAGTCTTTAGTTTTTTGTTTCAAAAAGAAACCTTTGAAGGAAGCTGAACAATCATTAATAATTTCTGATTCATCCAAAAAAAGCTGAACTATGACCATAGACTGTATACCACAAGGACACATGGTCACTTATTGGTTACTGAAGGGGAATTTTAAGGCCCAACAATGATGGTTGTGATATTAAAAATGATGTCAAGAAACAAGCAAAGAGCTGGAGATGAGGAGATAAGGACACAAAAAGCCTCCTGACAAACAGCTACAACACACCTTGCAGTATGATCAGTCACGTGTAACTCTTATCCTTCATAAAATCAAAATAGATGAGTTTTAACCCCCCCCCCCCTTATTAAAGGTTGTAAGCATGATTACGTCTGCAGTTGCAATGGAGATTTTTGAGTGGGTGTGTATGTGACTTTTGGGGCAGTTCTCAAGTGGACAATAACGGAACTGCAGCTTTATTTTAAAGTTCCGCATGGGCTACATTTTGCAAGGTTGCTGCTTGGCTATGCCAGTGGACAGAGTTCCCTGTGGGTTTGCAGTGGCTTTTCCATCATTGCTTTATGCAGTGTGACACATCCTAATTGATTTTGGAGGTTTAATGTCATTGAACGATTCATTTTTTATATAATCAAGACAAGAGACGATTATGTAATACATAATTATTTGACATGATCTCGAAGTCTAAACTTTTTCTCTAGTCAACGCAGTGAGTAGGAGTTAAGTTAAACTTTATACTTTTAGAACATTAAGGAATAATCTTTGAGCCGGGGGGACAGAAGCTGGAGCTGTGGCCACGCCAAGTTTATGAGTGCATATTTTTAGCTCCTCGTCTGGAGCTGTAATTTACAACTCAATGTTTTCTCCCCGTTTTCCTTCATGTCATCACAGCTTTGGAATGCTTCTTTGGACAATCCTGATCACTGATTCCCTGCTACAGCAAAGGGGCTTCAGTTGGGTATGATTGATGGGTGCCTCCCTGCTGAGTTCACGTAATATGAGCCTTTTCCCCCACAGTTTCCAAGGTAATTACCTAATTCCCTGGTGAGAACTGAGAGACACCCCGTGGTGCTTGTTTCCCCATTGCCAGTGTATTCCCTAATTAGTATTAGCTTAATATTGAGAATTGTCGATTTTTGTGCCTGCACCATACATAGTGGCAACAACCATGAAATCTACTTTATGTAAATTTAAGTTAAAGGTGCAGTGTTTAAATATAACAACACCAAAGCATTAACAAGTTGATAAAAAAATATATCTCATTCCTTAGTGCTTGCTTAATTTCCTTTTTTGAGTTTTTTATGGCTTTTTATGTCTTTATTTAGAGACAGCAGGTCATCGAATTTAATTTTAAGATTTAAGATTTACTTTATTGATTCCCGCAAGGGTCTGCTTTTACACTCTGTAAGTCATGCAACACACACATGATATATACACATGCACAAACAGGATCCTATGGACATGCACTAATGGAGAGATGTCAGAGCGGGCGCTCCTGAGCTGGTGGTGGGGAGGGGGTTTGGTGCCTTGCTCAAGGGCACCTCGGCAGTGCTCAGGAAGCGATCTGGCACCTTTCCTGATGACATGTAGGAAAGGAGCCACAGGTCGGATTCGAGCCGGGCTGCCCGCTTGGATGGCTATAAACTCCATACACGGTAACACTAACCACTATGCTATGCAGGCACCCCTAAATGTATTTTTTTTATGATTTTTATTTTTGGGCGTTTTGTGCCGCTATTGGAGACATAGGACAGTGGATAGAGTCACAAATCAATGTACGAAGTTAATTTTCTAGAACACTCCTGTTTGAAAAAACTCCCTTTTGCACTATTTAAGACATGAGACAATATGAAGTCAGGCTGTGCAATATGTCACATTGAAGGCAGCGAGCAGCGTTGAACTGCTCGTCTAACAACGATGATTTTAAATGTATTTTAAATTTGTAAAATAAATCATTTTTTGACTTATTATTATTAGGGTCCAAACAATAACAATGTTATCGTTTGTACCTTTTTAAATAAATGTAAGATTTGTGTTGTGGTTTTGCCCACTACACAGTACCACAGTCTGTCAGTGAAATCTGAGCTGGCTCTTTGTTGACATCTCTTAACATACTGGAACAGTTAGGATGGCCTTCATCCCCATGACTTGTTGACCCCCGTGTCGTGTCTCCAACAGCCTTGCAGAGATGCCTCGCCTGGGGGAGCTGAGGACAGGGCAAAGGGTTGAGGTAAGGTTGGACAGCCAGAGGTTTAAGAAGTGTCACCAGTCCAACAGGCGTGCTGTACTTTAAGGATTAACACTCACACCGTCATGTGCACACACACTGACAGCTGCGCATGATGAAGCCCCCCAGGCGTGCTGTGCTTAGGATTGGTTGACTGGCTCAATTTGAGACCTTCTGCCATTCTTTGATGATCTAAAAAACACACTGTGGTTTGCAGCTGTATAATAGAAACAGTTTGTATTGCGAAACGCAGCAGACTGTGTTTTCAGAGCGTACAAAGGAAAGTCGTCCTCCCACTCACAACTCTGTCCATTTTTTCCTTTCTGCTTCAGCATAAGCATACGTCTAAACGTTTAAAGTGACAGATTTCTGCTTCCTCCTGAATATGCCATTAAAGCACAAAAAAATTAAAAAGGAAAGGAAAAGGCGTGGAGCCGTCGCTACATGTTTTTCAGTATGGGAGATCATACGGGGGCTTTGAGACTGTTTCAGGTCTTTCCAAGTTGTCGTTTTGAGCCATAAATGAGAGCAAAACAAACAGTGCTGGAGCCAGCCGAGTCAGTGGAGGCTCGAGGACTCCATACTTTGAGTCTCGGTTTCATATGAAGCCAGCACCTCCTCTCATCCTAACTCCTCCAGCTGTGTACCTGCCTTCCGGCCATCCCTTTTCCTCTCTTGATCCAACATACTTCTCTGCATGTTTCAACTGCTCAGACTCTTGCCCAATAGTTTTGGTTGCATCCCTCGAAATTTCCCCTTTGTATTTGATCAACACCATTCATCACCTTTAGATATAGAAGAACAACTGTCCTTTTGTTACCTCTCCTCGTCTCCTTCTCTCAGGTCTCCTTCCTTCTCCCTCTCCATTTCTGTCTGCCTCCTCTGCTCCACTTATGCATCCCAGCAGTCTACATTTCCTTTCCTCGGGTTATAATAGTTAGACTGTGAAATCACCCAGGCCCCCCCTCTCCCCCCCCCCCCCCCATCCCGTGTCCTTCTTTCCCCTTCCACTCCCTAACATCTTCCTCGCCTTGCTCTGATCCCCTCCTTACTCCCAGTACTTATAGCCAATCTTTAATATTTATGGCCTCAAAGCTTGAGAAGTGGGTGGGGGCACAGGGGGCTTTACCTTGCCTATGATTACTTGCGTGTTGTCAGGGAACCAAACAAGGGTAGGGTGAGGGTTGCACGACAAGGTTGAGACTGTGTAGCTGCAGCCCCTGCAGAGGCTATACCCAATCTCCTCCGAGCCCCCATACTGAAATGATTAGGCCACAGGAAGCTGAACCTGACATTGCTGACACTAGGGCCCCCCCACCACATCCTGCCTCAACATCCACCCACGCCACACGACACCACCTCTCTTATGCTGACACCCGACTCACCGGCAACCGCAAAGGCTGATTTACATATTCTGATATGTCGAGTGAGGATTGAAGAGTAGAGGATGTACCAGGACACTCAAGAGCCGAGAAAAAAAACAAAAACAAGAAGTAACCTGAGATCAGTGAAAAAGAAAGGAAGAAAAATTCTTTTGGCGACTGCTTGTTATTTTCCGCCCTCGTTTCATGTGGTGGTGTGGCAGATGTAAACAGGAACAAGCAATGCAGGTTGCTGATTTCAACCCTATTAAATATAAGTGGGAGAACTACTGCAGGTGCTTTATTTTGATTGCTGGGTTCTCATGGACCAAAAGGGCTGTGGCAGTTTTATATGTTCTGTTAAAAATTTTAAAATAAGTATTTCTACAGTATCTCAGCGTGGTTAGAAACTGGAGGGTCACCGATTCAAGTCCCAGTGCGGACCATGTCTGTAAATTGGTCTGGTAGCTGGAGAGGTGCCATGTCACTTCCTGAGCACTGCCAAGGTGCCTTTTGTGCAAGGCACCAAACCCCCACCAACTCAGAGGAGCGCTCGCTGTGGGCAGCCCCCCCTCACTCTGACATCTCTCCACTAGTGCATGTCCAGTGGTGATTCTAGACCACTTTTACTGAGGGGGCCAAACTAATATACTATATATATATATATATATATATATATATTATGCCAAATAATAGCACACATCACTAAATACCCCAACATAAAATACCATGATTTATATTTGTTGAGTGTGGCTTTTGAGTCAAATACTGTGTATGTGATATTAGGGGGGGCAACAGGGGGGATCAAGCTCAGAGTTACAGGGGCACTGGCCCCTGTTGGCCCCTGCCGAGAACCGCCCATGTGCATATCAATAGGATCCTGTTTGTGCATGTGTGTGTATATTTCAGCATGTGTGTGTAGCGTGTTCAACAACAGAGTGTACAATTACATTTCCTCTTGCAAAATTAAAATATACAGTAGGCTATATATAATATTGATTCAAAATCTAAGTATATGGTCTTCTTCTTCTAAACAAAATTGAGGCAGAACTTACTTTTATAAGGTCAAAGTTGCCTCCCCCTCCCCTGACAGAAATTAACATCTTCCTATTGATGTCTTCCTTGCTGATCAGGATGCAGTGACATTGACTGAATGGCAGTTTGAGTGGACACTATAATGATTATGATAACATAAATGAAAGAGCACTTCTGCCCTCTTGTGTTCAGGGTGGCAAAGGGCAGAATTGAGAACATGGAAAGAGCACTTGAGATAATCTTTGCATCAAACATTGCCCTGCTTAAAGCTTTACAAGTGGAATAAAGACATTGATAACACTCACCATTAAAAAAAAAAAAAAGATTGTTAGTTTGAAAATATCAAAACCAATGTTTTGATTTCTTTTTTACAGCATGCTTTATTAGCGCCATAAGTCAAGAGCAGGTGCCAAGAAAGGTTTTTTCACATTACACTGGGCTCTTCTATTTACACATGAGAGTACAAAAATAAGTTGCATTGTGCATTACACATTCACAACAGCTATTAGTTAAAAATGGTGTGTTAATCCCCCGATCATTAAAATGGAATAATAAAGCTCATTCACTTTAAGGCATAAAAATAGCAGTGATTTCGACGCGAGCACCCCATGATTCCAAACCTGTGTCGAGCAAAAAAACTCTGGATGTTTCATTTTAGCAGTTATTTGTTCCCCCTCTCTGTCTCTCTGACACTCTCTCCAACCAATCAAAACGTGTCCTTTTTTTTTAAAGTAGCGATTGCTCTCTGTTTGACTCCCATCTCCGGTGAAAGTATTTCATTCCGCTAGTGCAGAAGAAGTGAAACCAACTCCATTTAAAAAGAGGAGTCTCACTGAATACTCTAGGGGCCGTGGGAATAATCAAAACACTGCGAGAGCCAGGGAGGAATACAAACTCCAGCTAAGAACAAAGGATATGGAAATCAATGGCAGGATATGCAGATTTTTTTGACAGCTCGACACGCAAATAATCTTTTGGGAGTTTGCCCTCTGTTGCCTTTGCCAGGTTAAAATAACAACGGAGCGGGGGAAGTTAAAATGCAGTATGTTGAAGAAAAGGGCACAGCATCACACCTACTTAGTTTTGTGTGAAGGTGTTCCAAAACAATCAATAAAGAATGTGCTGCGTCGCAAGCGAGGCTGAATGGCCCTGAGGCATGGTCATATCTATAAGTGGACAGCAACCCACCTCAGGAATTAATTTAAGGCTCAACACTGTTTTATTTAAAGGGTTCTTTTCATGTTTTATGCACAGTTGTATGTGTCGGTTTGTCGACACTTGAGAAGCTTGAGCAAAATTTCCATCTTATGGGCGTCCTTCTTGAAGCAGCTGAGTAAAGTGTAGTCTCTCATAACGGATTCCAGCATCTCGGGCTGCCCGTCGAACTGGAGGAGGCCTTGCTCGCTGTAGGCCGTGGTCGTCATTCCTTCATTTAACATCTGTACAGCAACATTTGGAAATATGACGGAAATATTAAGCAGAGAAAAAATAAATGAAAGTTGTTTAAAGGCTTAATATGAGATTTTTCATACTTAAATGTAATATAAATCAAGTATCTCCTCTGAAAATAACTCTGTGAGTCATGACTGTCTACAATGGGTGTAACACCCGAGTCCCACTGTTTGTGATGTTTTCAGAGTTTTCAGAGTCCTATCTTCAGTTTGTTTACATCGTCAGGACGGCCAGCTGACTCCTCCCCTCGAGTATAAAAGTAGTTTAATTGAGGGACTAGAGAAAAGAAGAATAACATACTGTACTCACTGCTTAACTGTGTTTCTAGATCACGCTCATTTCAGGTAAATTTACATGCAGTGTGAAGATACGAGCATAATAAAGATCGCTAGCATTAGCATGCTAACACAACAATGCAGCGTAAGTTGTTTTGGTTTCATGCTGGTGCTCAAGGGCGACATCTGCTGGATCAAAATAGCATATAAAGCCTTTAAGAAGTAATGAAGAGATGTGATTTGAGCTGCTGTACCTTCTTTATGAGGACCACCACCCCTTGCTCCAGGCTGATCAGTTTCTCAGACACCCATTTGGTTTTGTTGAGCAGCATGTCGGGAGCACCATCGTAGCGGTCCAGTGTGGCCTGCAGGTAGACCAGAGGCTCGATCCAGGACTGAACTAGCATCAGCACAGAGTGGAGCAACCATTTATCCTGCAGGGTGGACATGTAATTAGATGATAGAACCAAATAAATAAGTGAATTAAAGCCCAGAAACTGCATAATGCATAACAACAAAGTTATCCTTTTAAGACTATACAATTAAAAAAATAGGACACAAACGAAATAAAACATGAAGAAAGAAGATGACACAGATACAGAAGCTGTGACTTTGCTCTGTGTCTTAATGGTAACATTCAGATCCATTCTTAATAGCAGCTGTTTGCTCAATAGAATTTCTGCAAGAAAGTAATGAAAAGAAGCAATCAAAGAGCAGGACCGACTGAAGCTCAGGCTGCAAAACTTAATAACAGCATGGCTTTTGATCAAGGCGGCTCATCAGCTACAAAACATACTAGCAGCCAAAGCGGGATAAAAATGTGGTGGGTGAGGCAGCTGAGCCTGCTTAAAATCCCCTAAGCGGAGAAACTGCAAATGACCACCATACAAATGGCCATTAAACCGCAGAGCAGGCAACATTTCAGCAGAAAGGGCAGAGGATGAATTATGAACAGAGAGAGGAGCCTTGCAGTATATGCATTTTCAAAGATCACATTTAATATAATGACACAACTTTCAACCAGCAGTTTCAATATTAGATACACAGTCCTTAAATTTTTACTTTGGCAATATATACAAATGGCCTGTATTAAAATGTGGATCAGTATAAAATTTAACAATTTAAAATATAACAGCCATATTACACTTTTAGTTCTAATCTTACACTTTGCACTTTGGTCTAAAAGGCTTTGCACTGCTGTACAAAGGCCAACACACACAAGTATGAGCAGAAAATATTCTTTAAATGTTAGACAGGCGACTGAATTTATGGGATTTTGCAAACAAACCTATCATGCAACAGTAGACATGGGGCAAGCATTAAGGGTTGGGGGGTTGAGTTGGTCGAGTGCTGTAGTTCTTGAAATCGGTCTTGGTCTTAAGACCACTTTTTGAAGGTCTTAGTCTTGAATTGAAATTTTAAACTGGCAATTTAAACTGGCAATTTAAACTGGCAATTTTAAACTGGCATATTCAGTCTGCTCATTCTCCACCCAGTCTCATAACTCCTTTACATCCCGTACATTTGTGTTTTTAATGTTAATTTTATCGTTGTATTGTTACTTTGTTTTTATTTCTGCTTTGTAAGGTGACCTTGAGAGTTTTGAAATGCGCCTTTAAATAAAATGTATTATTATTATTTATTGGAATTGAAGGCATTTTTTACTCGGTCTTGTCTCGGTCTCAGACTGGACGGACTCTGGATTTGTATTCAAGACCACCACTGATTGGCTATTTGTCCACGTCATTACTGTGATTAGAAGGAAAACACCCCCTTCTAAAACAACAAATAAAATGTTTCCCCCGGTTACAGCTGCAACCTTCCCGGTGTTACATTCCAAATGAGTGACATGTCCCCTGCACACACAATGATGATTTGTCATTGATATGCATGTATGGTCTTATGGTCGATACTGTAAATGTCTTGGTCTTGGTCTCTGATCACTCTAGTCTTGGTTACTGTCGTCTTGACTACAACCCTAAGTTGGTCCCTTGCAACAGCTTTGCATTTATCTCATACTATCCCTGCAAACATGCACAAATGCACATTCAAATGCAAATAACAACAACTAAAAACTCATCTTATTTGCAGATGCCCAATCACACAAACATGAATCTGTGTACATACTGTACATAAACATACATGCCAACAACAGCCACAAAGGGACACAGGCACTTCATAGTAGATTACCATGAAAGCCCTGACAAAGTAAATAAAGAAAAGCTGCGATGAGTTGCCATGTACTCACAGATATCTGTTGGATTTCACTTTTGGAGCTGGGGATGGGTAAAGTTTTAGTGATGCATGCATAGCCAGCTTGGTTCCTCTGGAGCTGCAGTGGGAATGGGACAAACATCTCCTCCTACAATCCATACAAACATGAGGAAGTGGGAGAGAAAACACATGAAAATACATTTTGAGTACAGCTGGGTATTTGAGTAGCTCTACTTGCATGTGCACAAATACTTTTGAATACTTAGGCTGAACATTACAGAATCCTACCTTGTGTTGGTTAGTGAAATACTACTGATTGCTCAATCCTATCTCTTTAGAAATAGCGTTTTGGAAAATAGTTGAGAAACATTTTTTGTGGATTTTCTGATATCTGATAACCTTTAATACTCATGGGTACAGAATTAGAAGAAGAAAAATGACAATAGCAGACACACAAAAAGAAAAATAGCAATCTAGGCCATTGGAGACACTGTAGAAACACATTTTGTTCTCCAGCATGTTCTCATGTATAGACCCCATGCAGCGTCTCCTCAGTAACAAGCCCTACATCATCGCATTTCAAAGACCATTTTGGATCCGGAGCTACAGACTGAAGGGGGGATTCAACAGGCTGCAAAACCTGTGCTACCGCTGCCGCAGAATATCATTATCACTTTGGTATTACTCCAGTGTACGCCTGCCTCTTCAATAAAACATCATTGCCTTCAGAAGAGAAGAGAGAGAGAGAATATTACTTTGAAGCCTGGCAGTGAGGCGATGATCATGTCGGAATCAAAAGCAAATAACACATAGTATCTAACGAAAGTGTCAGTGATTTCGGTGCAGTATTCGAGAGAGCAACAAAAAAAGTCATTTTTGCTGTCGTTGTAGAACTCATTCCAAGTGTTGATAGATAGCACGCTGTATTTGTTCATAAAAAAAAAAAAGACACAGCTTAAAAGAGATCTTTGGTTCGTGACCGAGACCTATGGGAAATGCTGCTTTAGGTTTGTTGTCTTTTACACTGAGAAAAAAAAAAAAATTCAATCGCTTTCTCGATGAGTCAGTTTTAATACAAAGCAAGATTTTGAAGTTCAATATGAAATATAATAATACAGCTTCTTAAAGCCAAAAACCTTTCATCAGTGTCACTGCAGCCTTTGCAGAAGGTTTTCTTTCTACAGCACTGCTTTCTTTTTTCTTTTTTCTTTTTTCTTATATCTTTATTTGGAACAGACAGGTAAATACACCAGCATAGCAACATTAGTAAAAATAAAAACAAATGTCCTACAGTTTTGTTGATTTTGAGTCCAGAAAAAGCGCATCACCATTCATCCAGGCAAACGAGTCCAAAGAAAGTAAAGTCATGGATCGTGGATCAGATTTTGTTCGTTCTTTGTAGTGACCACTCTCCTCTAATAACTTACATTTCACAGCAATTGTGATAGATTAACAGATCAGTGGGTACACATTATCCTCTTAAGGACAGAACTGACAATTTTCCCGGGATAAACAGAGCCAGATGAGGCTCACATGTTCACTTAAAGAGAACTCTGATACAACTTAATGAAAGGTAGAACAGTTTACATGAATCTATGAACAGAAACCAGGGTGGTCGCCTGCTGCTATTGTCATTGTGCTATTGTCACAATCAGCACTGCTTTCTTAATGCTGATTTCACATTTTCACCATTTCATCTGATACAAATATTGTCCCTGTAGCTCATGGACTCTCTTGCCTTTCAGTTGAATCCATCTTTCAAAGCACAATGGAAATGATTTTCATTGTCATGTGCTGCTCAATGTGAAGTGGCAATACATGAGCATTGACACAACTATAGAAATCTTTAAGAGAGGACTGAACATTTGTTTCTTCGTACACGGTACAGAAGTGCATGTATACATCACGGACGTAATGGTCATTGTTACTCACAAACAAAGAGCATGACTCCTCTGACACCCGGTAGATGAGCTCAGCATGCTGGATGACCCGGTCCAGAAGTTTCTCTTGAGAGATAGAGGGGCAGCGGGAGAAGCTGCCGTGATCTTCCCTACAGTCCAGAGGGAGGCTGCAGGTTAGCAGATAGGGCCAGAGGAATAAAACCCACACGGCCCGCTGTATGACTGGAAAACACATTCACACAAAAGGGAACAAATGTTTACCAGTACAACCAAAGTCTGAACACAAAAACCTGAACATCCTCTATCTTGTTTCTTTGTCTTGGTACTGGATTTCGCCTTTTCATTTTTATAAAAATGAAATCATACTCTAGGATCCACTCAATCGAAAAATCTGATTTTAATATTTTACAAATCAGGTTGTCTTGAACTGTGATGCAGTACCTGTTGTCATAGTCATCCTGTTTGTAGTTGTCAGGTCTGTTTAGTTTTTCTAGCATGCCCACTTCTCTTATAAAGCCAGACCAGGCCATGAATAAGAGCAAAAGGTCATTTTAGGCTTACGCAGGTTCTTCAGTTCCCGTAGGTTCTTGTTATAAGATACCGTGTTTTTTTTAAGGAGGACCGCTTTAGAGGGGATTGCTTGAATTTTCATGTGACACCTCCGAGGCAGACAGAGTTTTAAAATGGTCAGCAAGCCTTCCTATTGGTTAACAAACATGGATGTGTTTTATCAGATATATATGTTTATGAGACCAAGCTCATTCTCTTGAAACCCCTACAATTTTAAAGTATGCTTTTAAACATTCTCACTCAAACTAGATATGTTCACATGAAGATGCTCACATAATTAACATTGAAACACATTCATGTTAAGATGGCCGCAGGTGGCGCAGTGGTTGGTGTGCGCGTCCCATGTACGGAGGCTATAGTCCTCAACGCGGTTGGCCTGGGTTGGAGTCCAGCCTGTGGCTCCTTTCCCGCATGTCATTCCCCACTCACTCTCTCTCCCTGATTTCCAACTCTATCCACTGTCCTATCTCTCCAATAAAGGCACAAAAAGCCCAAAAATAAATCTTTAAAAAAAGATGGCATATACACACAAGTACAAATACTAGTCTGTGTATCTATATACTTTGTATGTGTGTCGTTTTATCATTTTCTTTTTCTGTGTGTGTTTTCTTACTGTGTTCATTTCACTCTTTTTTATCTGTATATAGTTTGGTTTTCAGTTTAGTATGTGAATGAGCTCAGTCTTATTTGTAAATGTGTGATCAAGGACCGTGTCATCTTTTACTCTGCTTTGCAATTGGGGTAAAAAAAAAAAAACACTTACAAAAAACAGCCTTATGAACTGTTAAAACAGAGCATCACATTGTGGCTGGGAACACGATAATGTAAGATGGAGATGAGATTCATTTCATAGATATCCCCCCCCCCCAGATGATAGACATTATTTGATGTACGGCTAATTTCATTAACACATGTATTTTGTATTTTGCATTTGGATTAACTATTTTGAAAGGATGCAATTTCAGTAACTTGGGGTTATGTGTTTTCATTTTTCAAACTTGGAGGTAGCTACTTGATATAACCTTACCATGAACACGCCTTCATATTTGCTGTAACCTCTCTCTCTCTGTTGTTTTGTGTAATGTTACCACTCATCACACGATCCTCTGAGGCTTGAATTAGATTCTTTATTTCAATTTGAAAACCGAGTTTAAGACACCTTCAGCATGAATTATTTCACAACATACCGAACATCTCTAATGCATACTACTGCCATAGTTTTTCTTTTAAGGCATAAACATATTTCTCCTGTATTTAAGTAAAAGAAAAACTGGGGAGTTTTCCAAACTAGCAATATAAAATCTGTTTCAGCTGACTGCAGTTAAAAAAATAATTCAAATAAAGCGTTTGTACACTTTTATTCCACTACAATAATGCAAGAGTAGACTGAGACTGATTAGATTTACCAAACAAAAGCCCCAAAAAGGAATGGGTTGAAAAATCCCTCCTTTCAGCTGAGGTAAGTAATGTAGATTTAAACAAGCATGACAGAGAAGGCTGTGGGAAAGACAGTGTGGAACTGTAATAGACACAACAACAAAAAAGAGGCTCAGTGAATAGGAGTCAGAAATCACTGGGATCTAACAAAAAGCCCTCAGATCTTCTTTTTTTGTTTACTTTGACATTCATTTTCCATTGGCGCCCAAAACCATGGGTGTTTGAGTAGCATACCCAGAAGCTATAGTCCTCCCATTGTAATGATTGTTTGGCTGTCATAGAGGAACGCACATATTAAGTTGTAATCCACGCCTACTTCAAAGACAGACTTCACATAATTCTCCTGCTCTTTCTTGCTACTCTGCTTATTTTAAAATCCATTAAAATCGTTTCTTTATAAATGTAATCAGGTACTCAACCCATCCATTTTTCTAAGGCAAATTCAAGGAAATCTCTTCCTCATCACAGAGCCTCACACACATAACAAAGCAGATCTTTTGCATTACACTTGTAGGTCAACATGTGCCAAGTGAGAATATGAACAAAGACCAAGACCCAATCATCTTTGTGAGGTTTTATTCTTGAATAACTGCACAGAGTGTATCATGGTGAACAGTCTGCAGAAAAACTCAAATGAAAGAGACACTCAAGACTCCTTGTCAAGGAGAAAGGAACAATATTGACAAGCTCTGTTGTAGGAGATGAGCAGTTTAACACGATCAACCTAAACAGAAGAAGAGCAAATGTCCATGCAGTCATCCTTGTAGAGATCAAAGGTCATGCAAAAACCCTCTAGACTAACAAGATGTTTATAGGCCAGTTTAACCTAAAATGCCATACAGTTCACAACAGATTTATTTTAACACATCAACAAAATACATTTTTCCCATTACAACTGTCATCTGAATTGATACGTTTCTGTACATGGATTTTGGGCAAATTATAGAAAAGTGGAAACAATGGAATTTCTTGCAATTGCACATGTAGAAGACAGTGTGTTGGGAGTGTTTGTTCCCACAAAAGTTGCCTCATACCCATACATCCAGCCATCCATTATCTATACAGATTGACCTGATCAAGGTGGCGGGGGGGCTGGAGCTGATCCCAGCTGTCATTGGGCGAGAGTCGGGGAACGCCCTGTCAATCACAGGGCTGACATATAGTGACGGACGACCAACCACATTCATAGCTATGGGCAATTTAGAGTAATCAATTATCCTGATCATACCCATACAATTGAATTGTCTTTTAATGTTTGGTATAAACCAAAAGCTACTATCTTAACCAGGAAGTTAGATAGTCATCTGAAATCCTATTTTTTCTTTACCTTGACTGAACCATAGAAGAGTGTTAATATTCAACTTAACAGTTGACGTTTTTGTTGAAGCATGTTTAAGGATAAGCTCAAGACAGAAGGGGATCAGCGTGAAGCATTGGCTGGGTGTCGTGTTACTGAACTTGACGTCACAGAGAATGTTCCTACTCGCCCATCCTCAAGACACCTGAAGCCGTCCGACTGTCACCCTGCTACATATGAAACAATGTTCTCTCCTTACCACCTTTCCTTTGCCCCTCCTCCTCCTCTTCCCTCCACCAGTATGTCAGATTTTAGCATGATATTTTTTTATTTGAAAATCCTTTTAACTAATATTACTTAATATGCAGGGAGTACAAAATAAATTTAACACAACTGTATCTTAGATATTTTACCAATGATCCAAATAAATGTAATTAGACTGAAATCATTGATGCGATGGCATTTTTAAAAATCTTATTTTAATGTACTTTGGAAAACAGAGAAAAAGGTACATGCAGAGTGTGATGGAGCATACTGTCTCCAGTGCTAAAATCTAAATTCATTTTTCATAAATGTTGCTGTTCAAGGCCAAGAGGAAGGTGCACATTCCTCTCACTCAAGAGTCAATGTTTATGTAAAAATATGGACATAATTCACTTCACTAAAAGTACTTAAAATGACTAAAACTAATTTGTAAATTAAACTTTTTTTCCCCCAATTTAAAGTTAAAGAAATCTTAATGTTTACAATATCCACTCATCGACCTGGTACAATTTACTAGTACAGGGTTGGACCCCCCTTTGCCTTCAGATCTGCCTTAATCCTTTGTGGCATAGAATAGATTCAACAAGGTGCTGGAAACATTCCTCAGAGATTTTGTTCCATGTTAACATGATAGCATCACACAGTTGCTGCAGAGTTGTCAGCTGCATATCCATGGGACTTAATCTCCCGTTACACCACATCCCAAAGGTGCTCAGTTGGATTGAGATCTGGTGATTGTGGCGGTCCATTTGAGTTCAGTGAACTCATTGTCATGGTCAAGAAACCAGTTTGAGAAGATATGAGCTTTGCGTTATCCTGCTGGAAGTAGCCATCAGAGATGGGTACACTGTGATCATAAAGGGATGGACATGGTCAATAACAATACTGGATGTGTTGTGGTTATTTGAGTTAATGTTGCCCTTCTTTCAGCACTAACCAGTCTGGCTATTCTCCTCTGAACCTCTGGCATCAACAAGGCATTTTCGCCCCAGAGTACGGTCGCTTACTGGATATTTTCTCTTTTTCCATTCTCTGTAAACCCTTGAGATGGTTGTGAGTGAAAATTCTAATAGATTACCAGTTGCTGAAATATTCAGACTAGCAATGCTAAGTTCAAAGTCACAGAAATCACCTTTCTTCCCCATTCTGCTGCTGAGTTTGAACTTAAGTCTATATGCCTAAATGCATTGAGATGCTGTCATGTAATTGGCTGATAAGATTTTTGCATTACGTTGAACAACTGTACCTAATAAGGTGGCTGGTGAGTTTCATATATCTTTGATGTTTGGACTTAAGAAGGGAAGTTTGGTCATTTCTTTCTTAGTTTAATCTTGCTGCTTGAGTCTCAGGGGAGGTGAGATTGATTACACCTGGAGTCAATCTGCCACTGATTGAAGCTCCTCTCTGATTTGCCCAAGAGGACAGGTCACATGATATTTAATGTCTGTGAGCTCAGCAGACTGGTTGATGTGTCATTTTGAGAAAGCTGTGAGGGGAGCCTGTTGTTTCTGTTTAAATAAAGTTAGATTTCAACAGATACACCTGTAATCTGTTTGTCAAGTGTGTTTATTTTATTTTTTCACTCTCACTGCCAGCCATCCGGAAGTACAACACAAAGCATTTGTAACACAACATTATATAGATATAACCCCGTATTTGGATCGTGCTTGATTGTGTTTAGGAAAATTATATATTATTGGAAAGCCTGATTAGTCACCTTTACAACGAGGTATAACTTGAAAAGATCGTGCATTTGGGGAATGAGCAACACAGCTAAATGTGTAGGTAGCGCCCCCACAAAAAAATGTGCCAAAATCACCTGCAATGTTAATCTGTTTTGAGCTTGAAGTGCTGCCAGGTGTGTGCCAGTTACAGGTGTATGACTGGCACCTGATTGACACCTGATGTACAGCACTTGTGGGATCAGTTTGGGCGTAGTTGACCTTCAACAACTCCTGGTTGAGGGATGAGATTCCATTCCAC